AGGGCAGACCCAGCTGCTGCCCATGCTCAGCCAGGTTGGAACCAGACACATCTCCAGAACCCCCTCCTGGCGAAAGGCCCACCCAGTCCTCACGGCTTCAAGATGAAATTCTAGGTCTGCTTGGAGGGAAGTGGGCCATGTAGAGGGGTGGGCAGTGTGGCTTTCTCCCTGCAATGTTCTGGCTGGAGATACTGAGTGACCTGTATCTCACCTGCTGTGATATGAGGTGCTCCAGGTCGTTTTTACTCACATGCCCAAACACATGTCCATACACGTGAGTATAGCCTGGGTTCCAGAAGACAGGTAGGGGTGGGGACGGTGGTAGAGGTGGGGGTGAAGCTTTGGTGAATAAGGCCTTGACCCTCTTAAATAGGGTCTGGATCCTTGAGCAAGGGTTCTGGGCTTCCTCAGGTTTCACAACCATGGCAGCGAGAGAGTCAGGACATTGAGGTTCAGATGCCTGGCAAGAGATTTGCCTACCAGCAATCATGTGGGAGGTTGTAAATTTGCCTAGTAAATTTGGGTCCCGGGGATAATGAGGTCACAGAGGCCCTTGTGACCTAGCTGGATATGGTGGACAGACTGAGGGTCTCCCCTCACTCTGCTCACCCCTCTAAACCTGTGAATGTGTTATGTTACATGAGAGGGGGGAGGGTGTTATGTTTGCAAATGGAATTTAGGTTACTAACCAACTGATAGGGGGCTGGACAGATAATTCTGGATCAACCAAATGGGCCCAAGGTACTCTCGTGAGTCCTTAAACAGGGAAGAGGGAGCCAGAACAGTTGGTGTTGGAGTCATACATTGTGAGAAAGACTTCAGGGCCATCGCTGGCTTTGAGGATGGAGGGAGGGCCACCAGCCATGGAATGCAGGTGACCTTTAGAAGCTGGAAAATGCCTTGGAGGCTCCAGAAGGAGCCAGCCCTGACGACAGCTTAATTTTAGCCCAGAGAGATCCATGTCATGTTTCTGCCCTCCAATATAATTCATTGGTGTTGTTTTAAGCCACCAGGTTTGGCATCATTTGTTACAGCAGCCATAGGAAACTACTACAGGGTTTCATTGTCATGGCAACAGGAGATGAAAGTGAGAGAGAATGGGACAGCTCTGGAGTTTGGGGGAGAGAGACACAGTTGATCCCCGCAAAAGACAGGAATAGGTTTGGAGTTAGGAAGACCTGAGTTTGAATCTCACCTCTACACTTGTTGCTGTGTGACTTTGGAGTACCCGCCTTACTTCTCTGAGCGTCAGTTTCCCCATCTGGAAATGGGAAGTAATGATAAACTCTACTAGATAGTGTTGTCAGTAGGATCCAACAAGAGTCTTCACTGAGGGCATCTCCATCCTCCCCCAAAACACCCTTTATTTTGTAGGTGGGGAAACTGAGGCTTAGAAAGAGAAGCTTGTCTGGTGTCACACTGCATGTCAGTTGCAGAGCCTCCTAAATCCCAGCCATAGCATCACGGGATATAAGGATGCAGACACGCCGAAACCGGTTTGGCTCAGTGGATAGAGGGTCGGCCTGCGGACTGAAAGGTCCCAGGTTCGATTCCGGTCAAGGGCATGTACCTGGGTTGCGGGCACATCCCCAGTAGATGTGCAGGAGGCAGCTGATCGATGTTTCTCTCTCATCGATGTTTCTAACTCTCTATCTCTCTCCAGTTGCAGAGCCTCCTAAATCCCAGCCATAGCGTCACGGGATATAAGGATGCAGACACGAAAATGGACGTTAACTGGTCCAATTAAATAAACTTAAAATGCTGACACTCTACGCAAGCATGGCGGTAGTAACACTGGCAATGCTAATTCCTTGTTGAAAGCTGTGTGTATTACATAACAATTTTTCTGGTGGCATGACTCCGAGATAGCAATATCCTTTGACCCACTCCTGGGAATTGATGCTAAGGACATAGTTCAAAAGAAGTAAAAATACAAAAGTTAGCAAGGTTTGATCCCTTATTTGAGTATGTGGAAAATCATATCTGTGGATGTGCGTATGTATCAGTGAGCTACTGCGACAGAATGAATTACCGCCCGCTCCCCCGCAACACACACACCCCACAGCAGCTTAAAATGCAAACAAGATAGTAGCTGCAGTTCACTTATAACCTAATCCTGGAAGTGATATACCGTCAATTCTGCTGTATCCTCTGGCCCAAACAAACTCACCTTGGTACAATGAGAGAAGGGATTATACAAGAATGCAAATACTAGAGGCAGAAGTCATTGGGGGATATCTTGGAGGGTGACTATCACGGTCCACACAGGAGAGTTTGGACATGTAAAGACAGGGAGAAAATGGAATGATGGGTCTACAAGCCAAGGAACACCAAGGTTTGCTGGCAGCCACCAGAAGCTGGAAGAGGCAAAGAAGGACCCTCCCCTGAAGTCTTCAGAGGGAGCATAAGCATGCCAACACCTCGATTTCTGACTTCTACCCTCTACAACTGTGAGAGAATAAAGTTCTGCTTTTGTACGTGTTTTTTAAAATGTCTTTATTGTTGAAAGTATTACAGATGCCCCCCTTTCCCCATCCCTCATGACCCCAAATTTCTGTTGTTTTTATTCATGATAGCCAAAAGGTGGCGAAAAGCCAAGTATCTACTGATGGGTGAATGGACCATCCAGACAATGGAATATTACTCAGCCTTCAAAAGGAAGTAAATTCTGACACATACTGCAACATAAATTCTGAGGACATTATGCTCAGTGAAATAACCCGACAAAAAGGACACATACTGTGTGATTCCCCTCACAGGAAGTCCCTAGAGTCAGATTCAGAGATAGGAAGTAGATGGTGGGAGCCAGGGGCCGGGGGAAGGGGAGTTAGTGTGTGATGGGGACAGAGTGTCAATTTGGGAAGGTAAGAAAGTTCCGGGGATGGATGGTGGGGATGGTTGCACAACAATGTGAATGTACTTAATACCACTGAACTGTACACCTAAACATGATTAAAATGGTGTGCTCGCGTTAGCAGCACAGGTACTAAAACTGGAATGATAGAGATTAGCATGGCCCCAGGCACAAGGATGACACACAGACTCATGAAGCAGTCTATATATTTTTAAAAAATGATTAAAATGGTAAATTTTATGTTAGGTGTATTTTACCACAATACAAATATATCCATCAAAAATGTGTTGTTTTAAGCCCCATTTGTGGTAACTTGTTATGACAGCCCCGGGAAACGAATACACTTGTGTACTTAGGAACAATACGAAAACAATTAGAAGGGTTCCTGCACCTGGACTTCTCCTTGCCCCACTTCACAGATGTGGAAGCTGAGGCTCAGCGGAGTCATTTCTTGGTCTCCTTCAGCTGTGAGTGATGGAAGATGGTCCATGTCCTTTTCCTGTGGGTAGTTTGAGGGTGCCCCACCTCCACCCGCCCCTTTCAGTAAAAACCACAATGAAAAGAGCTTAGAAATGTATTCCTTTTGTTCTTTTGCTTTGAAATAACACATACAGGCAGGGATGTGGGGCATGGCATAGGTGGGGAGAGGTGGAAGTCTTGGGGAGGTCCTTTACCCGTCACAAACAGTGGTTCCTCTTCTGTAGTCCTTTAATGGGGTTCTCCAAGGACTTGGGAGGAGTGGAGGAAGGGGTCCCCCAATTAAGAATCCAACCATAAAGTGCAGAATGTATATGGGGGTGTTGGGGCTTGGGGTGGGGTGAGGGAATGTCTGCTCCTCTCCATAGGAAAGTAGACCTGGAATGAGTTCTGGGGGTTTGGTTCGTTTTGCATGATCCGAAGGATGGTCTGTGTAGACAAACCTGCTCTTGGCTTCCACCTCTGAAGCCTGAGGAGAGGCTTGTAGTGCTGAGGCTGGGGGAGGTCCCCTTAATGTGTCCCCCACCTCAGATTGCCTCACTGCCAGCCCCCAAGAAAGAGCAGTGGGACCCTCCAGAGGACCCAGGCTCTGGGAGTTATCGGCTCATAAGGTGGGGAGTGGAAGACGCTGAAGAGGGTTAGGGGGAACGTTGGAGGGAGCAGTGTCCTCATAGGGCCCAGAGGTATAGCCATGCTGGGGAAGTGGGGGGATCCAGTGTCTGTGCAAGGCGTGAGAGGGGCATCGAGCCATATCAGGACATTGAATAAGTCCCATGGGTTTTCTGGAGCCAGGAGGCCAGGACGTGGGGCTCCTACAGGCTCCCAGGTCCGTGTTGTGGTGGGGAAGGTCTCTGGGCTCTCATGTGTGTCTGGGTGAGGGGCCATATGGAGCCATTTTGCTGTGATTAGCCTACCGGGATCTAGATGTGGGATCTGAGCCAGTGTCTGGGAGGATTCAGGTCAGAATCCAGGGGCTAAGGAGGTGGGATCCAGTGCCTGGGAGTGTCAGGGTCTGTTTCCTGTGGGTGGAATTTCAGTATCCAGGGCCTGCGTGAAGGGATTAGAGAGCCAACAGCTACGGTTGCCAGGACCCAGTGGCTCTGCCTCTGGGTTCTCATGACTGTGTTTTTAGGAGCCAGGAGCCGGTGTCTCAGGGCTTGTGGATCTGGAATCTGGTGGGCTGGGGGCTGAGGGTGTAGAGGTTTAAATGTAGGGATCTGGCAGTCAAAGCAGAGGGATCTGGGACCCAGTGAGGTAAAGGAAGTCAGGAATCCACTGGCCGGGAATAGGGGATCTAGGATCCAGTAGTGGGGGCCCCAGGATCTGGGCGTCACATGGCCAGGAGCTGGTGGCTGAGGTTTCTTAATATTCAGGATCCAGTGGCCAAGCTTGGGAATCCAGGGATTGGAGCGTGGAGATCTGGGATCTGCCAATGGGGCTGGGGATCTGGGATCTAGTGCTGTAGGAAGACACTGGATCTGGTGCCTGAGGGAGCTGGGGTCTGGGTGCTTAGATATAGGGATATGTGCTCCTGTGGTTAGGGTTTCAAGATTCATTAGATGAGTTGTGGGGGATCCAGTGGTTAAGACATGGAGGTCTAGGACCCAGTGTGTGTGTGTGTGT